CACGCAGACTCACTCGCCCTGGGACCCAGCACAAAAGCAACAGTATGAAAAGGTCTAGACCATATGTGAAGGAGATTTATTTACTAATCTTAAAGCATCTGCTGGAGGGGCAGGAATCTCTTGGGACTCTTCCTGGAGACAGAAACTGGCACGTGCCATTTTTGTGCTCTCTCTCCACTTTGTTAGTCCCACTGTACATGCCCCATCCTCATGCCACTTCTGCAGCCCTGCCAAAGCCAGTTGGCATATGCAGCCCATACAGTGTATGCCTCTTGAGCACCTGGCTCTGGTGTCCAGGGGGGATTGTGTTTTGGGACCCCATGGGTCTGGAACAATCAGAGAGACTATTCGTGGCAAGCTACCACACTCCAGTTACTGCACAGACAGCTGACTGTGATGCACCCCCAGTATTCCTGTGAAAAAGCCCCATTTACTTGTCTTGAAGCTTCAGCCTGATGGACAGGCTTCCAGTTTTCCATATGTCTAGAGGCTATGGAAGGTCTAGGGGATATCACCTTTGTGCTCTCCCTTGACCTCACTACAGCTCACTGGTAACTCCCAGAAATGAAATCAAACACTCACCTGGAGCCCTGATTTTTGCAACTTCACTAATGGGACACCTGTAGATCACCTGGTGCCAGCAAGGTTTACAATTGCATTTTCACAGTACTGTGTATACTTGCATACCTTAAAAGCTGCTGTCTAGTTTCTAATCTGAGATCCCACCCTCTGGAACACTCACAAGTCTTCAACAACTGGGAATTACCAAGATTAAATCAGGGTGCTACGACAATCACATTGGTTCAAAATGTAACCAAGAGCTAGGGCAAGGTTAAACAAGAAGGTTGACCTCCTTCACAAGGCCACTAATTCAAGACTGGGAAAGACAGCCGTTTTGCCTAATACATAGAAACACACAGAGAGTCAAGCAAAATGAGGAGACAAAGGAATTTGTTCCAAACAAAAGGAAAAGATAAAACCACAGGTTAAAAAAAAAAAACCTTAATGAAATGGAGATAAGTAATTTAGCTGAAACAGAGTTCAAAATGTTAGTCATAAAGATGCTCACTGAACTTGGGAGAAGACTAGATGAACACAGAGAGAACTTAAACAGAGATAGAAAATATAAGTAAGTACTAAGTAAAAGTCACAAAGATGAAATATACAATAACTGAACTGAAAAATACACTAGAGGGGTTCAATAGCAGACTACAAGAAGCAGAGGAAGAATCAGTGGTCTGGAACAGAGGTCACTGGAACTCATTCAAATAGAGCAGCAAAAAGAAAAAAAAATTCAAAACGTGGAGATAGCTTAAGGGACCTATGAGACAACATCAAGCAGAGTGACATTTGCATTATATGGGTCCAGAGGGAGAAGAGAGAGAAATAGGCAGACAACTTATTTAAGGGAATAATGGCTGAAAACTTCCCTAATCTGGAAAAGGAAACAGACATTCAGATTCAGGAAGCCCAGAGAGTTGCAAACAAAATGAACCCAAATAGACCCACACCAAGACACATTACAGTTAAAATGTCAAAAGCTGAAGCTAAATCATAAAGGCAGCAAGAGAAAAACTTGTTACAAACAAGGGAACCCCCATAATACTATCAGCAGGTTTTTTTGGCAGAAACTTTGAAGGCCAGCACTTGCAAAGTGCTGAAAGGAAAAAACTTCCAACCAAGAATAATCTACTCAGCAAGGTTATTATCTAGAATTGAAGGAGAGATAAAGAGCTTTCCAGACAAACAAAAGCTAAAGGAGTTCATCACCACTAACCCAGACCTGCAATAAATGTTAAAGGGACTTCTTTAAGCTAAAAAGAAAGGGCACTAATTAGTAACAAGAAAACATATGAAAGTAAAAATCTCACTGGTAAAGGTAAATATATAGTAAAGGTAGTGGATTGATCACTTACAAAGCTATTATGAAGTTAAAAAAATAAAAGTAATAAAAACAACTAATAATTTAGTTAAATGATACATGAAATTTAAAAAATGTAAAATGTGAAATCAAAAACATAAAATGTGAAGGGGGGTTCAAAATGTAGAGTTCTAGAATGGATTCAAACTTAACTTACTATCAGTTTTAAATAGATGATTTTATATATACACATACATATATATTTATGTGTCTGTGTATATATATATAAGCTGTTACATGTGAGCCTCATGGTAACCACAAAGCAAAAGCCTACAGTAGATACACAAAAGATAGTGATAAAGGAATCTAAGCATAATCCTATAGAATGTCATCAAACCAAAAGGGAAGAATGCAAGAGAAGAAGAAAGAAACATAGAGGAACTACAAAACAGCCAGAAAACAATTATCAAAATGGCAATAAGTACATAGTTATCACTACTTACTATAAATGTAAATGGACTAAATTCTCCAAACAAAACACATAGAATGGCTGAACGAATAAACACCAAGACCCATATACATGCTGCCCACCACAGACTCATTTCAGATTAAGGACACACACAAACTGAAAGTGAAAGGATGGAAAAAAATGTGTCATGCAAATAGTAACCAAAAGAGAGCTTGGGTAGATATAATTATATCAGATAAAATAGACTTTAAAACAAAGACTAATAAAAGGCAAAGATGAGCATTACATGATAAAGTCATCTCCAGCAAGAAGATATAACATTTGTACATATTTATGCACCCAACATAAGAGCATCTAAATATATAAAATAAATATTAACAGGCCTAAAAGGAGAAATTGACAGCAATACAATAATGGTAGGGGACTTATAACACTTATAACAATGGAAAATTATCCAGACAGAAAATCAACATGGAAACATCAGCCTTAAACCACACTTTAAACAAGATGGACTTAATACATACACATTGAACATTCCATCCAAAAGCAGCAGAATACACGTTCTTCTCAAGTGAACATGTAACATCATCCAAGATAGATCAGATGTTAGGCTACAAAGTAGTCTCAGTAAATACAAGAAGATCAAAATCATGTCAAGTATCTTTTCTGACTACAATGGTATGAAACTAGAAATCATTTGCAAGAAGAAAACTGGAAAAACACAAATACATGGAGACAAACAACATGCCACTGAACAACCAATGGGTCAAAGAAGAAATCAAAGGAGAAATTTAAAAAAAATACCTTGAGACAAATGAAAATGGAAATACAACATACCAAAATCTGTGGAATGCAGCAAAAGCAGCTCAAAAAGGGAAGTTTATAGTGAGAGAGGCCTACCTCAATAAAGAAGAAAAACCTCAAATAAACAACCTAACGATAAAGCTAAAGTAACTAGGAAAAGAAGAATAAATGAAGCCCAAAGTTACCAGAAGGAAGGAAACAATAAAAGTCAGAATAGAAATTAATGAAACAGAGACCGAAAAGATCAATGAAACTAAGAGCTGGTTCTTTGAAAAGATAAACAAAATTGACAAGTCTTCAGCTAGACTCACTATGAAAAAAAGAGAGAGGGCTCAAATACATAAAATCAGAAATGAAAGCGATAAAATTGCAACTAATACCAAAGAAATACAAAGGATCATAAGACACTACTATGAACCATTATATGCCAACAAATTGGACAACCTAGAAGAAATGTATAAATTCCTAGAAACATGCAGTCTTCCAAGACTGAATAATGAAGAAAGAGAAAATTATGAATAAACATAATTACTAGTAAGGAAATTAAAAACTCTCAACAAACAAAATCCAGGGTCAGACAGCTTCACTGGTGAATTCTACCAAACACCCAAATGTTTAATACCTATACTTCTCAAACTCTTCCTGTGGAGGAGGGAACACTTCCAAACTAATTTTACAAGGTCAGCATTACCCTGATACCAAAACCAAACAAGGACACCACAAAAAAAGGAAATTACAGGCCAATGTACCTGATGAACAGAGAAGCAAAAATCCTCGACAAAATGTTAGCAAACTGAATTCAACATAACATTAAAAGGATCATCCACACTATTCAAAGTGACATTTATTCCATGGCTGCAAGGACAATTCAACCTCCACAAATCAATCAACATGATATACCACATAAACAAAATGAAGGATAAAAATCACATGATCATCTCAATAGATGCAGAAAAGGCTTTTGACAAAATTCAACATCCACTTATGATAAAAACTCTCAACAAAATGAGTATAGAAGAAACCTCAACATAATAAAATATGTTATGACTAGCCATATATGACTAGCCCACAACTAGCATCATACTCAACAGTGTAAAGCTGAATGCTTTTCCCTTTAGTTCAGGAACAAGACAAGAATGCCCATTCTCACCACTTTTGTTCAACATGTGTAAATCTTGAGGACAGTATGCCAAGTGAAATAAGCCAGTCACAGAAAGATAAATACTGCATGATTCCATGTACAGGAGGTATCTAAAATATTCAAATTCATAGAACCTGAATGGAAAGCTGGTTGCCAGGGCTTGAGGGGATGGGGACACAGGGAATTACAAACTAATGGGCATAAAGCTTCAGCCAAGCAAGATGAGTAAGCTCTAGAGATCTGCTATACAGTGTTCTATGTATAGGCAACAACAATACATATATTGTACACTTAAAAATTTAAGCCGGCAGATCTCATGTTAAATCTTCTTTCCACAATAATTTTTTTAAGTGCCTCCATTGCAGGAAAGAGCTACTGGCTGGCAATCACACAAATTTGCGGGGTTTTTTCCACTTTCCTTATTTACATCCTCAAGGAAGAAATAGCATTAGCAATCTTGAAATAATTACCATAGTAATTCACCTAAAGCAGGACTGCTGTAATTTAATTTTCAGAATGAAATTACAGCATATCCAAAGGAAACCATTCAGACTTCCTTTCACATTTCAAATTTAGCAAATTCAAATCTTTCTGTCAAACAGGAAATTCCCAGTGCCCAGCAATCAACACAGAAACAAACACACAGACACGCACATAGGCATAAGCCCAGTGGTCGGAACTTTCCTATTTTACTGATGAAATTTGTTAAAATCCATCATTCTTACCTTCCCAAAACTCCCTTTACCAATGGCCCGTAGGATCTGAAAATGGTCAAAGTTGACTGTAAAAGAAAAAAGAGAAAAACAGGAATAAGTCAGATTTGGCAAACCTTGTTTTGGTTCTTAAATGTCCTTACCTGCACACCTACCCATTTATTTCAAACGGCTCCTGGTTTACTGCATCATGTTTGTCGTGGCAGCACTCCACCACTGAATGGATACTTCTCAGCATATTCCATTTCCCCTCCCAGCACATATATTTGGCAGTTAACACCTCACCATATACCTAGACACCCACAACCATATACACCTATATGATATATAGGAGGAGAGACATTTTGGGGGCCAGAGGGAAGGCAGGACAGAGAAAAACTTGGATATTTGGATTATCAAATTCTTGTACCTGCTAATCCCTTTGCCAGGATGGCTTTTCCCTACTTCTAGTTCCTGTCTTGTCCATCAAGCACTCTTACCTTACCTACTCAGACATCAGCTCACCTGCCTCAGTATCCAAGGAGTTAATCCCACCTCTATTATGGAACCTCTGGACCCCCAAGTTTCATGACCACATCATGGTCCTTCCCTGCTTGGGTGTCTGTCTAACCACTGGTATCACGAGCCAAGAGGATGAGGATGATGATCCCACACCTTCCTCCTGGTATTGCCCTGTCTCATGCCTCCCTTTCATCATGTTTCTTGATGGGGCTCCCCATTCCTG